GCTTCCCATGCGCAGCAGTAGTGAATAAGTGATATTGCATCATCATCCTATCTAATTTTATTTTCTGCATTGCACACCTACATTTATTATTCATATGTTTAAAATATTTGCCAGAGGACATTGTCTGGCTTTTTATTTTTTACAAAAAACGTAGATATATTAACTTGTTTTAAATGGTTTAGATACCAAAAATACCCATACAACAAATTAAAACTTGATATTATTCTATAACTCATAGAGTTGCACGAGAGTGAAACAACTGTATTCAACACTCAAAACAACAATAAGTTGATCATTTCATGATCACTACTATAGACCATAATGGACTTTACCAGATTAATGCATGGTAGACTCCACTAAAGTTACATCGGGATGAAAGGGTTAAAGAACTTACTCATACGGACGACTTCAACTTATATTGTCGTTAAAAATAGTAAAAGTAGCAAAAGACAAAGCTAGCATGGCAATTTCAGTTTCAATCTTGCGAAGCGATTCCCTGTGCGGTCGGTTGGATAATGTAAATGGGTGTATTCCGACTCTCTGAGCACAAGTTACTTTTTCTTTATCACCAACAATGTGCAATATTTAGAGTTATTAAACGTTTGTTTTACAGTACGTTTCAATCAAAATGTGAATCAATGACTGTTTCAAGGCAGTGAATAATATTTTATGTATGGGTACTTTAACTTTACTTTAACTACTGGAAGATCACCTGTAGTTACGGACAAACTTGTCTGTAAATAAAAAGAATTGTAATGTCGCATATATTTCCATTTCATCAGATTTTATTGACTTTATATATGTCAATTGGATTGGACATCAGGCTAGGCCTAGTTAAGTCCTTTCCAAACTTATTTACAAACATTACATATATTCTGTCATAACAATCCAATTAAACAGTGCAGGGGAGATAACTCCAATTTAGTTTGTGAAATGAACATTTTTAACTTTGCTTTAATCATTTTCTGTTTATGTTTTAGATATTAATAATTAAATAAATCATGTATATTTATTGACAACCCATCCAACATAAAATCCAAGGGATACAGGCCCAAAAGTCCTTGTGTATAAACACATTGGCCATCCATCCACTGGATATATAGGAGAAGTTACCAAGAAATAAACATTTTGTAAAATTTCAGAATATGATAAGGATTCATATAGGAAAATGTAGTTATTATTATTATATATTATTGGAGTTGATTCTCTTAAAATGTATTTAACAAGGCACTATAGAAAATTTATGTAATTATAAAATAGTTAGAACAGGTTATAAAATAGTACACTCATAAATTCCATCCAGTCCAGCCGAATACCAGAGAGTTGTGAAGATAGATATACACCAGTATCAATACTTATTAGCAGAGTGATCATGACACTATAAATAATAGCATCACTTTCAATGTAAAGTTTTGCTGTGAGTGAGATTACATATCAAGCCTATTAGTTTGACAAATGAAGTCAGATATACTTTTTAAAATGGATATGTTAATATCAGCGCTGCATATTAAGCATCACTTTAATAGAGTTTTTATATTAAAATGATCATGATTACCAGTTATACAAAATTGAGAAATTTTTATTACTGATTGCATTCTAAAGTTGTTATAGAGTGGGCATTCAAATATAAAATGAAATGCATTTTCATTTTCATGTCCACATCTACATGCTGGTTTGTCATTCAGATGATCCATGTATAAGCAGGGACGTATACTGTCCCTGGTATAAGTCAGTATTTAGGTTGCTAGCATGATTTCTCAGCTGACAAATTATGATATTGAATGTTCTTGGCCCATAGTATTTAAATATGCTAGCAATTTCTTCAGTGTTGTTCATGTTATCAGATTTGATGAAATTTTTAAATTGTTGAAGGAAAGAAGCATTTAAAGTTTCTGCAGACAGAAGGTTAAATTCTCTACACGTTGTGGGAAAATAACTATTGAAATAATTCTCAGTTCTACAGAAAGGAGGATTGAAAATACGGCTATTTCTTAGTGGGTATCTTACATTTATATTGCTGTGAAGGTATGTATGGTTCAATGACGTCTTCTAAGTACTTAGGCGATTCATTATTTAAAATTTTGAACATAAGTGCTAATTTATGATTTTTTCGCCTACAACAAAGTGATCCAAGTCCAGTTTCTGCATAAAGCTTACAATGAGAGGTCCCTCTACGCAATCCTGTAATAATCCTTAATGCCTCTAGCTGGATTGACTCAAGAATATTTTTATTTTGGTTATTACAGTTATCCCATACTACATCCCCATATTCAAGTATTGGTCTAATAAAAGAGGTAAATATTTGTTATAAGACTTTTTCTATCCAATTTGTGTTTTAACATTATCAATATATTCATTCTTTTACAAGCTAGCTCATAAATATTGTCAATATGATATGTCCATTTTCCATCACTACTTAAAGTTAAAGCAAGATGCTTATGAGTTTGTTTGTTAGTTACAGTTTCATAACCAAATAATATATCTGGATGATTCAGTTCCCTTTTCCCCGAGAAGATTACAGATTCAGTTTTTAGTGAATTAAATTTGATATCCCATTTTTTTGCCCATGCATTAATATTACCTAGGTCATTATTTAATTTCACTGCAATATCATTTTGATTGTTGTCTATTACCTCATAGAGAGAAGTATCATCTGCAAAAAGTTTTATTTTGCTTGTTACACATTCTGTTATATCATGAATATAGATTAAGAAAAGATATGGACCAAGGACCGAGCCTTGGGGTACACCGGCTTTGACATGCTTAAAAGTTGAATAAAACCCCTCTGTTGACACTCTCTGCTTTCTATCAGAAAGAAAATTACTAAACCATTGTAATATTTTCCCTTTCATGCCATACGATTCCAATTTAAAAAGTAAACCCTCATGCCAAACTCTATCAAACGCCTTACTTACATCACAAAATACAAATCTGATTTCATTATTTTGATCCAAGTTATTTACAATAGTGTCATATATAGATAATTACTGGTTTACAGTCGAGTCTCTTGGTAAGAAGCATGATTGGTGTTTCGTTATGATATCACATTCTTTCATATAATTAAACATATATTTAAAAATAACTTTTTCAACAACTTTGGTAAAACATGATGTAATAGATATTGGCCTATAGTTAGAGACATCATTCTGAGCACCCTTACCTTTGTATATTGCATTAATATTGGCTGTTTTCCAAAAAAGAGGTATAATACCAGATTCAATAGTCTTATTATAAAGTAAAGTTAGAGGACATACTAGAGAAGGTGCTAATTTCTTTGTTATCTTGGGTATCATGCCATCTGGGCCAGGAGGTTTTTTTATCATTAAGTAAACACAGTTGATCTTTAATGTCCTCTTCAGATATGATGATATTGTCTGGAAGGAAGGGAAAAGTATGTTCATGGGGGGTAAGGGGTTTAAGATTTTCAGAAGAAGTTGATATTGAGCTGAAGTAGTTATTTAGACATTCTACTTTTTCAAATGGATGATGTATTTAGTTATTATTATCAGAAAGAGGAGGAAGACAATTTGATACATTATTTGAATTCATGACAGATCTAGCAATTTTCCACCACTTATTAGGAGGCACAGATTGGTCACTAAGCGATTGTTTTAATTTTTCATAATAAGTGTTTTTAGCTTCTCTAACAAGGTCTACTACTTCATTTCTAGCCTTTCTGAAATTTTCCCAATTAATTGCAGTGTTGTTATTTACAGCTTTTTAATGTAATCTATTTCTCTGTTTAATTTTTTGCCTTATAATAATCCTCATCCAAGGTTTATCATTAGGGCGAACAGTTATAATTTTGGATGGTATACATTCTTCTATTTGATTATTAATAGAATCTGTTAAAAATGTATTAAACTCATTCGAGTCAAGTGTATTTATTAGTATTTCCCAATTTATTTCATTTAGAGCTCTATTCATTTCATCAAAATCTGCATTGTCATAGTTTAGTATAGTTTTCTGGAAGGATTTTTGCTTAAATACAGAATATGAACAGGTAAAACGAATAACAGAGTGATCACTGCATATTGGTGTATTCACTGTATTATGTTTTATAAGATTAATATTATTAGTGAATGAAATATAAATAGCAGTGGCAGTAGTTTGTGTTATCCTGGTAGGTTTATTAATTAGATTTGTAAAGTTATATTTTACCATTAGTCTATTTAAATGGTGGTTAGTAGGTATATTCAACATATTTACATTTATATCCCGAGTTATTATAATGTTAAGTGATGTGCTACATGCATTATCTAGAACATGGTCTAATTTATCCCAATATTCAGCATTTGATTCAGGTCTTTGAATACATCCTAATAAAAAAATGCTTATTGAATAATACTTCAATCCATATCATTTCTATATCTTCATGCTCAATATCAATTCTTCTTTCAGTATGTACTGTGTCTTTGTGATAAATAATTACTCCTCCCCCAGGTCCAGTTTTTCAATCAAGTCTGTGAATGTTATGGGAATGGGAGTTAAGTGTTATTTCAGCATCAGTTATATTTGGAGAAAGGTGTGTTTCAGTAAGACATAATATGTCACTTTCATATAAGTCTGCTTCAATGATATCAAGTTTGGTTCTGAGAGATCTTACATTAAGATGTGAGATTTCTATGCTACATTGGTGTCCTGGATTTAGTTCAATATCATTGCAAAGAAGTAATATATGTTTAATGGTACATAAAAGATATTCAATGTTTCTAAGTTTGAAAAAATAAAACTGGGGGCAAGTTAGCTAGTATTTATTTAGTATGCAAGCAATACTGAAATATGTATCTACATGTATGTATACTTATAATTGGTTTATTGAGCGTAGATTAATTACAGGGATTTGATATTAAAATCCGGCATAAATAGCTGTACGTTTTCATCACAAACATACGTTACGAATAAAAGAATAATGACAGCACATGCTGTTTCAATTTCTATAGCAGATTTACAAATGGACGGTTTGTACTCAATAACAATGTCAGAAAACAAAAACTTACCTTGTTTTCTACGTTGTGTTGGCCAATACAACTCTTCTCGAGTGTTTAACTGTAACACAAAACGAAACTACCTGAAACTGATTTGCACTGTCTATTTAACATTCACTAGACCGTGAAAAATATGTAATCGGCACAATCGTCTAAAAGGTCACCATTACAGTAAAAGATCAATCAATATCTAAGAGGCAAACATTTCTAGCCCTCTTCTCATGCGCAACACTACTGAGCAATTACCATTGCATTGTGATTTTATATTTTATCACGTTCTACACGTATATGCGATTTAAAGGTACATACTTTCTATGCCTGTATATATCCTACATATGTTTTAACCACACTTTGGGCCTATACATGAAAACAATTTACATTCGCTTATTTTAAATCGTTTCCGTCTCTGAAAGATACAAATTATAACCGCATAACCAAAATATCCCAGATTTAATTCTAGTTAACTCGTAGAGACGTCACAGAGTAAGGATAATTAGTTCAGTACTCAGGATCGGCCTGAAGTTGAAAGAAAACAAACAGGCAACAGGAAAAAAATAAAGTTCTGATAATTAAATTCTGATATGGAGGTTGCCATCTTCTTGTGTCATTGTAAATAGCAGTAGCAAAAACAAACATCAGATGGAAACGATTTTTCTATTTTTCTATCAAAATTCAAGGTCGATTTGGGACTGCTACTTATTTCACCCGGCGCAGGGTTGAAGTCATATCTAAGTTATTATTATGCATAAGCAAATTTCACGAGGTGTCACGAGAGCAGAATCCAACGAAAGACGGCTATGTGTTCGACTGGGTCAGAGGTAATGTTTACAAAATACCATCACCGATTGGGCACAGAGGTAATGTTTACACAATAACCGTGCTTTGTTTTTAATTAATAAATATCTATAATGTCACTTTGTATGCTAAACAACTCTATATTCCCTTATGAACAGGAGTTAACAAAATTGATATACTGTAAGAAGCATGCCTAGAATTCGACATGAAATATCGTCATTTTGTAGGGGCCCTACACACATGCGAGACATTATGTAAATCATCGAAGTCGTAACGGCACGTAAAAATACAAAATTTGATTCCTTTTTATTTTATATATTTGAGAGTTTAAAGCACTAAATGTGGTCGTACAATGTAAGGAAATATAATAACTTTTGCTATGTAAGAAATACAAGAAATGCCAGATTGATCCTGAAGATAAGCAAAACAAAAGAGCGAATGTTAGAGGCACGGTATCTTTAACTCTTAGAGGTTAGCTGCACGGTATCTTTAACTCTTAGAGGTTAGCGGCACGATACCTTTAACTTTTAGAGGTTAGCGGCACGATACCTTTAACTTTTAGAGGTTAGCGGCACGATACCTTTAACTCTTAGAGGTTAGCGGCACGATACCTTTAACTCTTAGAGGTTAGCGGCACGATACCTTTAACTTTTAGAGGTTAGCGGCACGATACCTTTAACTTTTAGAGGTTAGCGGCACGATACCTTTAACTCTTAGAGGTTAGCGGCACGATACCTTTAACTCTTAGAGGTTAGCGGCACGGTACCTTTAACTCTTAGAGGTTAGCGGCACGGTACCTTTAACTCTTAGAGTTGCACAAGAATGAAAAAATTTAGTTCAACACTTCAGATTGACCGGAAACTGAAAGAAAGCAAACTCACAGGAGACGTCGACATCTCTAAAGCTGCTATTGTAAATAGCAGCAAATTAAAAAAAAAACATGGCATGGGAATTTCAACTGCAGTAATTACACTTTAATAACGTACGTGGATGCACATCTACTTTTGAGTTCTTTTTTACTATTTTTTCGGATTTATACGTAAACATATTTTCAATGTTACATGTATAATAATGAATTGTTGCAAAGCGGAGAAACAAACATTAATAAATGGGTGCTTTAATGTTACTTAAAATAGATTGACTTTTTGTCTGTCTATGAGATTTCCCATCGGATCATAGCGTATTCTATATCGACGTTAAGGCAGACAGACAGACAGACAGCCTGTGGTGAGGATAAATGGAACGTCAGATTGGCTTTTGTTGAAACAGGCAGAGTTGTCAAACGTTTTTTACCTGCATTTGAAATACAGTTCATACCACGAAAAAACACATTTTAAAGATAGATTTATAGGAATGCTTCATAATGTCAATTCAATGAAGCCTATGTGGTCTTTTTATAATCTCAAAGAAGAGGAAACGGCCCTATCGTCTGTTTGAACAGCTCTTTTATTGTGAATAGATAAAAGTCTTAAATTTAAAATTCAGCATTTATCAATGGCAGGACAACCTGCTATGATTTTCTCCAGAAATGTTACAAATGGTTAGTACAAAACGACATATGTAAGGTGACAAATATTTACCTTATCTACGTTGTGCTGGTCAATACCACCATTGGTTGGTATGTCACTGTAACACTAAACCAAACTACGTATGTTTGGTATCAACTAGACCGAGAGAAAAACCCGTGATCTGCAAAATAACATACAAGGACACCATTATAGTGAAGGATAAATCATGATGAAACTGAGAAAACGTTCTATGGCGCCTTTCACACAGCGCAATACTGAATACATCTTATGTGACACAGTCAGTGTTACGACGTTGTGTAATTGATTAAAGATATCCCGATGAAGTACAGGTCAGGAAGTTATGACACAGTCAGTGTTACGACTAAAAGAAGCCCGAGGAAGTACAGGTCAGAAAGTTAAAAACCAACGAATGCTAACTCGGCTTACATAGATATGGTCTTAAGTCGCAACTCACCAGCTATGCACGTACTAATAAAATTGATTATGAATGGTTTATGGACGTTATTATAGATAATGGCTGGAGGCATCCTAGTAACATGGATGATGTGGGTATGGGGTATAAATATAACCTAGAAAGGAGATAATGTCAGAAGAACAGGAGATGGCGAGAAAAGAGGCTAGTGACGGTTAGAGACTGCACTAGAATACAGCTACAGACGACAGAGACCGATCCTAACACTTGAGGTTACCAGAATAAACTTCCAACCAATCTTCAACCCTTGTCACTCGTGTTTTGTTACACTGAGCATTCTCTCTCAACACACATTTATTAACCATATATTGCCACAGCTTATATACGTTGTACATAAACATTATATGCCGCCTGAAATATAGCATGGGCCATATTCATTCCTTTTAATGGTTTCTACCCCAAAGAAATACAACATGACTTCACAGGCAACTTAATCATTAAATCATTGTAATTAATACCGATAATACAGTTGTGGCTGAGACGATATCTGTGATATATATTTGTGTGTTGTTCTGATATAGTACCAACGATCTTTATTTCTGTACTGTAGGTATTTCCTTATTTTGGCCTCTTGGATTGGTTTGGTTCTATCTATTTTTATCATTGGTCAGTTTTGTAAGTTATCCCGTTGTCACCTCTTGGGTTAGCCAATGGTCAAGTGTTTGTTTGTTATCTTTGTGTGACTGGTGATTTTGGCGCGACATTTGTCACGTAAAAACCTCGGATGATTCCTTACCACTTTAAATGGCCCTGTTCCACAAATAGGGTAAATCATCTATGTCAATGAATCGGGACTACGCACAATAAATCGGGAAGAACTCTCTCAGTGTTTGTTGATGTGTATATGATCTTCAAAATCCACCCCTGCTACACAGCCAATATGCAACGCTAATAATCAACCAGAGTATTATAGACACGCAACAGGAAGACATTCCTTGCTTCTGTGGACGTCGCAATCCTATATTGCCAACAGTAGCCATCTTTCTTTGGAATTTTAAGACAATCAAAACGATGTTCTTTGCAGTCTATTTAATTAATACTGCAAGGGTTTGAAATCTGACTTTGCGAGGTCGATTTGAACTGTTTTCGTGCATCGGTATTTTTTCTTAAGTTTTCATTTGCCGTGGTATTTGGCTTCCATAAAATGTGTGAATGAGTTTCAGAGTAGGGTAAAATGTTAATAAAAGGGTACTTATATGTAAGTAAGTATAGCCTCTCTGTCTGTTTATGATAATGCACTCTCAACCATAGCGTGCCCTATATAGAAACAGAGTTCATTGCAAGGTTACTTGTAACAGGAGAGCTATATAATGGCTTGAAAGAGTCAGGGATGCCATATTAAAAGCATTGTTAGATTTCTGGCACCTTTTACAATACAAAACAGAGCGTGGTCAACCTAGTTTCAGGATTACCTATTTGTAGTAAGTCCAAGTGGCTATTGGTCTTTTATTATTTCATAATCTCAAAGAAATGGAAAGCACGGAATCTTCTGTCTGAATTTGTATCCATAGATTTGATAATTTATTGTAAATACAGAATTCCTTCTAATTCAAATCCAACCTTATTCAATGACAGGACAACCTCTGCTGATTTCTTCAGAAATGTTACAAACGGTTTGGCTACGCTAACATTTATTAAAAAATGTAAACTTACCTTGTTTCAAACGTTGTGCTGATCAATACAACTCTACACGTGTATCTTTAAGTGTAGCCAAACACATATAGGGCAGCTTAAACACACACTCGCTACACGTACGCAGACACGACGCCAGACACACATTTCCATATGGCATTCATGGCTACTGAACGGTAAATAACCATTTGAAAACAAGCAAAGAAATGTTGTAGATGTGATTTGTGTGTAAAATTAGAAACTTTACGAATAGGAATGCACAAAAAGTATGATTTTAACGGTGTGAGGTAGTATTCAGTTAATTATCGCTATGTAAGGTTCAAATAAAAATAAACCTCATATGGTGTTATTCATGGGATGCTATTTTGTGTTGTATGTCAATGTGTTTTAATATCAATTTGCATATGCTTTTGAAATGTCTAACAATGAGTGTCTGATATTAGGAATCTGAGCTTATCTATCCTATGATGAAGTAATAAATTTACGCCAAAGCAGAGACGTATAAAGCCATATGTGTTATATACGTCTCTGGCCAAAGGTACGAACTATTTTTATGTGGCTCTAGATGTTAATTGAAGAATTTCGTCGGTCTCACCCGGGACAGATTTTGAGTACAATTTTTTTTTTTTTAGGTTTCTTCAATGTTAATCGTTTTTTTAATATATGAAGCATAACTTGTATAATGGAAACATAGTGATGCTTATAATCTTTTCACTATGATTAACAATACAGTAAAACCTCACACCGGACATTAAGTCTAGTTGACATTTCCTGTTGTCTGCAATATTAGTGAAGAAATATGGACAACCCGAAACTTTTGAACCCCACCGTTGTTTCCGTCTCTGCCTCTAGACTCGTTGATGGGGGGCATTTCAATCCAAATTAAATTCGTCATCCACGTCAATTTTAATGGACAAAGTCTAACGAACGGGACCTACATTCCGATTTTTTCAAGATTCAATTAAAACTTTGTTTACCTTGTCCTCCATGTTAGATAAAAAGCCGGACGGTTTAAGATTCGCGATGCACACGAGAGTACTATATACGTGTGTGAAAAAGGGTTGGAGGAATGAAACACTGCTGGGGTTGGTCAACCCGAATATAGTTTATAAAAGGCGTTTGAAAAAATACAATCAAATCATCTCTATATTTGTAACTAAATCTGTGTCGCTTTACGTAAAGCAGCAACGGCTAAATCATGAGACATTTGCAGTTTTGATACAAATAAACTTTTATATTTTGATTTCTATTCGCAGACAATATTCCGCATTATGTAATTTTCTTGATAGATACAATAACACGTATTTTATTGTGTATTATATGGTAAACTAGTAATCGTGCAAAATAATCAGGAACTGCTTGAATACTATAAAAAAAATAGCACCTCCATACCTGAGGCACGTGTCAACGTCGTAGCTGTTGGTTTGTGTACTGGACACGTCGATTAATACCGATAGAAACCGGTATGTACCCTTTATGGAATACAATATAGCAGATAAGATTACATGCAATGACTTGTTTCTAAGCGGTTCCGGGACTTACCACATAACTGCTAATCAGGGACGAGATCACCATTCCAGATTTCCAATTTTGTGGATACATTTGGACTGAATCACGTCAAGTTACGTCATGTTAAACAACCAAAAAAGTCTCTGCTAATATTCCTCAGGTTCATATTTTTCTCTAGTTATCGATGTTGAATTCGAATTATACTTCGATATTCTCTATCTCTTTTCTATACCTCAGCGGATTGAAACATCGTTATTATATATTATAGTTCTAGAAATGTATAAGCTGTAGTATATCAATTCATAAAGAAAGCTCAATTGCTGTATTAATGTACCATTACTTCCTTTACCACCTATACCATGCTATATCATCTATACTTCCTATATCACCTATACCCTCTTACAGTAACTATATACGTCCTATACCACCTATACCCTTCTTCATCATCTATACTTCCTAAACCACATATACATTCCTTCATCACCTTTACGTCATAAACCACCTATACCCTCCTACATCACCTTTACTTCCTATATCACATATACCCTCCTACATCATCTATACACGCCATATACCACCAATACCCTCCAACATCACCTATACGTCATATACCACCTACATTTTGTATACCCTCCTATCTCACCTATACGTCCTATAGCCCATTTTCCCTCCTACTTCACCTTTACTTCCTATACCCCCTTTGCCCTCCTACATCATATTTACTTCCTATTCCATCTATACCCTCCTACATCACCTATACGTCCTTTACCATCTATACTCTTCTCCATCATCTATACCTCCTAAACAATCTATACCCTCCTAAACCATCTATACCCTCCTAAACCATCTATACCCTCCTAAACCATCTATACCTCCTAAACCATCTATACCTCCTAAACCATCTATACCCTCCTAAACAATCTATACCCTCCTAAACCATCTATACCTCCTAAACAATCTATACCCTCCTAAACCATCTATACCCTCCTAAACCATCTATACCCTCCTAAACAATCTATACCCTCCTAAACCATTTATACCCTCCTAAACAATCTATACCCTCCTAAACAATCTATACCTCCTAAACAATTTATACCCTCCTAAACCATCTATACCCTCCTAAACCATCTATACCCTCCTAAACAATCTATACCCTCCTAAACCATTTATACCCTCCTAAACAATCTATACCCTCCTAAACAATCTATACCCTCCAACAACAACTATACTTCCTTTATCGGCTTTACTTCATATACCACCTATACCTATCACATCACCTTTACTTCCTATACAACCTATACCCTCCTACATCACCTTCAGGCCCGGCCCCGGCCCGGCCCGGCCCCGGCCCTTTAAATTTAAAGGTGACGCGTATGTGCCTCCTAAGGTGTACCATTTTAACCAGATAGTTTAACAAATGTACCACTGTTGGTAATATGCACGCCCTTACATGAGTTAATCAGCGTGGACATTTCAGATATATCATTGTCTACACTAGTGAATTAGTCAACAATTATAGAACGCGAGACTATAAGCTAGTGGTCTTGGGTGTCGCACTGATTTGAACTTATCCGTTTGTTTAGCAACTTAGTGATGCCATGGGTAACTCATTAATTAAACAGACACGATGTTATGGTGTTTTTTGTTCTTTTGTACGACAAACTATTACATGAAGTACTGTACTGTAGGTACAATGTCTAAAGACTAGATATTGTGCGTCCCTACATTTATTTTTTGACGGTGGACCTCTCGTATCCCTCTTGCGGGAGGGACGCCAAACTAGGTAATAATGAACAAGCCCCCTGTGGATTCATACATTTGTCATCACCAAGTTGCCCCTATAATAATACCATCTGACTTCTAAAACACGCTGTTGATAGAGAATTTGAACCGAAACTTTAATTTTCTTTCCAGTACACAAAAAATGTCTTTGGGCCATACTTAAAATATGTTTTTTTCTTCTTGTTAATTAAACATAAAAACAATCCTCAGAACACGGGAAATCGCTTCTGAGACGTTCTAGAAAACACAATTGTTTGGGGGTAGATCCCACAAACCCCCCTTACGGGAGGGGGAAGACCCCCTCTCGTACCATCCCCCTCCTCACGCTACTCGCTCGGGGTGCTGCCATCGGCAGCACACCATTTACTATTGAGAAAAATTTCTCGGCCCCCCTTTTAAGGAAATCCTGGATCCGCCCCTGACCTTTACCTACTATACCACCTATACCCTACTACATCATCCATACCCTCTTACACCACCTATACCATCATACGTCACCTTAACTTCATATACCACTTATACCCTCCTACATCACCTATACTTCCTAATCCACCTATACCTTCCTACGTCATCTATACTTCCTATACCACCTATACCCTCCTACGTCATCTATACTTCCTATACCACCTATACCCTCCTACATCAACTAAACCTCCGACATCACATTCACTTCCTATACCACCTATACCCTCCTACGTCACCTTTACTTTCTATACCCTCCTACGTCACCTTCACTTTATTTTCCACCTATACCCTCCTACATCATCTTTACTTCATATACCAACTATACCCTCCTACGTCATATATAGTTCCTATACCACCTATACTTCCTATACCACCCATACTTCCTATACCACATATACCCTCCTACATCAGCTTTATTAACTATATCTTCATACTTCTCCTGTACTTTATATACCACCTATATCTTCCAACATCCCATTTTCTTCCTTTACCACATAAACCCTTCTATACCATCTATACTTCCTATACCACCTATGCCCTCCTATGTCATCTATACTTCATATATCACCTACACTTCCTATACCACCTATACGCTCCTACATCAGCTTTATTAACTATATCCTCCTACTTCACCTCTACTTCATATACCACCTATACCCTCCTACACCACCTATACATCCTATACCATCTATACTTCCTATACCACCTATATCCCCTACATCACATTGACTTCATATACCACCTATACCCTCCTATACCACCTATACTTCCTATATCATCTATACTTCCTATACCACCTATACCCTCCTAATTCATCTATACTTCCTATACCACCTATACCCTCCTACGTCATCTATACTTCCTATACCACTCATACCCTCCTATGTCATCTATACTTCATATACCACCTATACCCTCCTACATCATATTTACTTCATATACCACCTATACCCTTCTACACCATCTATACTTCCTTTACCACCTACACCCTTCTTCATCACCTACAAATGTCAACTGTCTTTACCATTTAAACCCCGCTGCATTTATTTAGTTATTTTATTTAAGTAATTATGTTCATTTATTCATTTCATTTTATTGATTTATTAATTAATTTGTTTTCTTTATTCAATTCAATTACTTTTATTTCAGTTTCTTGATTTATTACATAATTTGTTTAATTTATTCAATTTAATTATTTATTGATATTTTTTTTCATTTGTGGCTGTTTTTGCCATTTGTGGTTTAACTATAATCACATCCTTCTTTCCAAATGATATTTTTTTTCATTTGTGGCGGTTTTTGCCATTTGTGGTTTAACCATAATCACGTCCTTCTTTCCATCAACCCATGCG